CAACCTCAAAAAAAATCCTTACAGGGTTTCCATGAAGAGCAGTGTGACAAAATTAGGGACAGGAAATCCAGAAATAGAGGAATCTGTGCAGTGTTTAACCAAATTGAACTGTGTATTTAAATGATTGTCTCCCTTACATCCCAAAATAGGATCAAATATGATTTATCGCGGCTGTCGCAATAGCATCTGAGGACACTTCCTTTCCCTTTGGCCTCAGGAGCAGAACAACTTTGTACTGGGTACAATTACGGTGCTAAAACTGCAGCCTTGTCCCCAGGCAACATCTTCTGAGCTTGCTGCTGAAGCATTTTTGACACATTATCCCCATGATCAGGCTCCACACAAGGTGAAATCTCAAGCCCACAGAGAAAGACTGGCTCTCTGAGCACATCCCATTGCAGTCTGTTCCTTTATCTCCTGGAAAGATGCTTTTTGCTTGCCTTTCCCACCTGTTTAGGTACTGGGAGAAAAAAGGTGGTTAAAGCACTACTACTGTTCAGTGCAGGGGGAGAACTGGCCTTTGGGCCCCAAGTTTGCAGCAAAGAACAAAGACAGTCAGACAAAGCCTCAGAGATCAATCTGGTGGTGTTGGGAATACATGCAGGAGCGGGACATGTACATGAGCCACCAACTATTGGTTTAATCACAGCATGTGCCAAAGCAACTGGTGTTTCCCCAGCACCACATTTAGTGCTTCTGCCCAGAAACGAGCTGTAGTGCTCCAGCCATGGCACCACAACTTCACTTTGCCCTCCAAAAGCAGCTGAGAGGTACTCAAAGCAAATGTCACTGGCACAAATAGACTTTTAGAGGAAAGATCACTTTGCCAGTGGGAAGCTGGAGTTTTGCCATCACTGTTTGCCCCAGTCAGAAAGGAATTGCCATTTCCCAATGTGCTGGGATCTGAGCAAGGTTGCTCATCGGTTACTCCTTTTGTAAGGTGGATGAGGAATAATTATATCCAGTTTTAAAAGCAATTTGACGTCCTTATATGAAAAGCACTATGGTAATGGCAAATATTTTTTATTTTTAGAAAGCTCCATCTCTGAAGATGTGTTGGGCTGCCAACAACAACAAAAATAGCAAATCTTATCAAAGCCATGGCCAAAAGCAACACAGACCAGTAAATAAATCTGTGCAAAATTCGGTGTGGAAATAACATCATCTCTGTGCAAGATGCAAAGGGGCAGATCTGTGCATGGAGCACCCCAAGGAGTGGGCAGTGAAATGTCCAGGATCTGCCAAATGTTTTCAGAGTTGCTCAGAGTTTTGCAAGCATTCTCCCTCTAATTTAAGCTATTGTTTCTCCGAGAGAATTTGAATTTAAACCATGGCTTTCTTAGCTAAATATAAGTCCATTGTGCACAAACAATGAAAATCTCCTTTCAAAACAGTTCTTCCTCTACATGCCAAGGGTTATACAATCTCAAGTAGGGTGAATCCTTCTGCGTGGTTTCACTCAGTGGAAGGCCTGTTTTGACAATGTAGAAAATCAGATAAGGAAAAGCTCTGGCTTTGATTCTGTGTCTTGCTCTGATTCTTTCAGGATTAGAGCCTAAAAGTTATGATTTGGGATGGGGGAGCTGGAGAATATGCTGCTTTTTTTGTTATTACTAAACCCCATTCTCCCTGCTCAGAGGTTTCTGCTCACAGTAGGAGCAAGCTTTTGTTGGGCACAAGAACCCTGGGTTAGGGCATAAGAAATTTAGATTGAACCATATTAGCAAAGAAACTGGAGATGGATTGGTCTGCTTCCAGGGTGCAGTCTAAAACTGCTTTCTGGTTGTTTCAAGCAACCAGAAGCCATCACATCTGCCTAAAGAAGCAGTTCAACATTTCCTCTACCACCGGCCTTTCATTCCTGCCCCCACGCGTCTCCCTTCTTGTGTCAGCACCAGCATCCACCCCTACAGGCACATGTTTAAAGCTTCTCCAGTCTCTCCTCCTGCAGCAGCTGCTCCACAGCCATGCTCCGTTTTGCTGCCCTGCTCCGCACCTCTGCAGCACCCACCATGGTTCTGAGATGCAGAGAGCTGCAGTGTGTGCTCCAGGGGTTCATGTAAGCAGCAAAATCCTCTCCTACATCTCCTCCATTCCTCTTCCAAGGATACCCAACAGTTCGCTGGCTGCTTTTGCTGCTGTTGCACGAGTGTGAACTGCCAATGATGACTCCAAGGTCTTTTGCTCACCTGATGACTTTGTGTGCACTCACTCACTTTTGTGAGATCCTTCTGGAGTTCCTCAGCACTGGCACAACATCGGGTTACCCAAAAGGACTTTAACTTCTGTTTCTGTTGACTGTGTTGCCTCTCTTTCGGAGCCAGCCAGCCAGATCTGTATTCTTCTAGGAATCGTAGAATGGTTTGGGTTGGAAAAGACCTTAAAGCTCCTCCAGCTCCAACCCCTGCCACGGGCAGGGATACCTTCCACTAGAGCAGGTTGCTCCAAGCCCCTGTGTCCAACCTGGCCTTGAACACTGCCAGGGATGGGGCAGCCACAGCTTCTCTGGGCACCCTGTGCCAGCGCCTCAGCACCCTCACAGGGAGGAGCTTCTTCCTGATGTCTGATCCAAACCTACCCACTATGTCTTTGTTCATATAGAATATTCTCCATGATCTTGCTTAACTTATCTGGCTTTTTTTCCTGGGCTGAAACTCTTCTGGCCACCTAGAAGCTGATGGATATTTTCCTGTTTGTTTTCATAGGAGGACTATTGTGGCGAATGCTTTTATGTTACTAACATATGCTTTTAATAGCAGATGGAAACGCAGGTTCCAACGTCCTACACTGAGGAGGACAGTTACTGCTGCTAGCTAATCCCAAAATTTATGATGTGTCCAGCTCACAAAGTGCCCTGTTAACTGACCACAAGATCTTGAGCATTTTCCCATTCCTTTTCCTGCTCTCATTTTGCCTGTTCTTACAAAACTCGTGTGAGATTAAAGCATCCTGGTAATGACATTTCCTGGAAAAGGCTTTTCAGTGTTTGGGTGTTTGGCAAAATCAGGAAGCAAATTCACAGTGGAAGGTTTGGAAACCATTCACATAGGAGCTATGTCCCAAAAGACACATGATCTGGTGGCTCCCCCCGCCACTACAGTGAGCTGGGTTGCCCTCCAGACACTTTGTTCCACCTCTTCATCAGCTGATTGTCATGGTGGTTAAAGTAATAACACTTCTTGCTTACCCAGCAACTCTGCACAAGTACTGCTTTAGAAGTAGTTTTTGGAGGGGAAGCAGAGCCTTAGAAAAGTGACATGTCCATAAATCTTCTGACTTTGTGCTTATTTCACTGGGCTGCTGTGCACCAAAGCTGGATTTTTCTAAAGCCGGTTCACACTCAACACATCCTCGGTAATGCTGGGTGGAAATTGAGGCTATCTGACAGCCTGGCCTCCAGTGCTTTTGGAAGGGGCAGTGATCCAGAGACCTGACCTGATTTCCCATCCTCTTGTGCTAGCTCAGAACCATACCCCAGCCACTAAAACCTGCTGGGTAGAAATTGAGGCTATCTGACAGCCTGGCCTCCAGTGCTTTTGGAAGGGGCAGTGATCCAGAGACCTGACCTGATTTCCCATCCTCTTGTGCTAGCTCAGAACCATACCCCAGCCACTAAAACCTGCTGGGTAGAAATTGAGGCTATCTGACAGCCTGGCCTCCAGTGCTTTTGGAAGGGGCAGTGATCCAGAGACCTGACCTGATTTCCCATCCTCTTGTGCTAGCTCAGAACCATACCCCAGCCACTAAAACCTGCTGGGTAGAACTCATGTGCATGCTGTGATCGGAAGCAGTGGTGTGAAAGCAGCTGGGCAGAAAAGGTCCTTTTGGTGGCTGCAGCCTCTACGCATTGAGCCGTGCAGACCTCTGCCTGCTAGAAGCATCCAGAAGACAGGAAAATCTGCACCCTCAGGTCTCTGTGTTCTGTGGGTGGATTAGTTTGTGGTGCCACTTCCCATTAACACCCAGGGCTCCCACACAGCGTGACAGAGTCCATGTCTCAGAAGTTGCTGCTTGCACCAGGCTCACCTCTTGCCACCGCTGCCTAAAGCTTCTCCTGCCCCTCACAGACCTCTTTAGAGACGTTTGTCAAAGATGAATGCTCCAACTATATTTTCTGTAGTTGAATTTACATCTGGTTTATATTATTTGCAGTGTTGCATTATCTGGGTCATTCCCTCCCCACTGCTCATCCCTTTTTCTTCCCTCCCCATTATCCTTGAGAACTGAGAGCTGATTGTAGCTAGTGTACAGTTACATGCTGTCATCCCAACAGACCTTGCAGCCGCCAGCTGTCTTCAAACGACACAGAGCTTTCCTATAGAAGTCATTCTTCCTTCATTCCCTCCGTCTGGCTCACCCCTCTGAAGGATACCGAGTCCTTCCCAAGTCTGTCGCCAGCCTTAAATTCACTTTTCCATGTTTGGAGAAACTGCAATGTCCCAACCCAATGCTAACCCACATTCCAGCAGGCCATTAAGACCAACAACGTGTATAAACTGGCAGATCAAATGTATCCTGGAGGATACATATGTGAGCTGGTTTTCTGGAATAACCCACAGCTGCCGGTGTGTGTGGAAAATGTGCTTGTTTTCCTGAAGAGGAGTATCCCATCAGGTTCAGCACACTGAAGGGGCCCAACTGCAGGACACAATAGGACAGGGAGAACAACAGAGCACGGAGTTGGACCCAATTGAAAATGCAAAGAAACGAGACAGGCAGAACGGGATTATTCAGGGCGGAATGAGAGCGGAGCAGGGGGTGCCTGTGTCTCGCTGAAAACACCACCGTGGTGGCTGTGAAACACAAGAATCTCGGTTTAGCAAAGAGCCAAGGGACAGCGCAGCAAACAGGCGTTGAGGAGAGATAAAGCAGGGAGCAGGGAGGTGGTGGATGGAGGCACACGCTGGTGCCCGGCTGGAGGAATGTCATGGCTTCACTTGTGATTGGCTGGGGAATGGAGGAGTCAGTTTTCACGGGGGCTGATCAGAAAGTTCCCTTTTGCTTTCCCAAGTTGCTGTCTGAGCGGAGGCATCGGGAAGAGGAGCCCAGTCGTGCTAACATTCCTCAGGAGCGCTGCTTAAATGAAACGAGGCGGCTTCTCCGTCCAAGGATACAGAGCCAGGAGCAGACGCCGGGAAGCTGCTTGCCTTCTTTTCGCCCCCAACTCCTGCAGGAGCTGAGCAGCTCTCCTCCCTGGCATGCGTCTCATCTCTCAGGATACCATGTCACAGTATTCTACTAACTTTCTCTTGCTCCCCATACCCGAGTACCCCGTGTTAGACTGCGTGCCCAACAAAATCATCAAGCTCGTGGTGCTGGGCGGCAGTAGCGTGGGCAAGACAGGTAAGTCCACAGGTGTAGCTCTGTGTTTCTCTTGCTGCTGTATTTACAAGCTCATTTGAGGCTCAGATGGACTCAAGGCTGTGAATTAACTGTTGTAGCTTGAACACTGTAAGTGATTTGGGTGGTTTGTGCACTGAATGATGTGTGAGGCAGATGTGCTGTAGGTCTGCGTGAGCAGCCACCATGAGGCAGGCAGGAGGAGAGGGCACTGTTGGGAGCGCTGTGCTCTCAAATGATCCTGCCTCATCCTGTGCAGATTATTTAGCCTCGTCTAAATTTATACACCCCAAAAAAGTGGTCTTTATTCCCCGGTTATAAATGGTTTATGCTCTTCAGACAAGTAACAGCGTACAAGATGTGTCTTCCTTATTATTCTCCAAAGGAGAGGAGAAGAAGAGAGGGTAACGTGAGAATTATTACTTTGAATATATGGTTCATGCTTTCAGGAATTATTAGGGCTGATTCTGGTTTCCTGCATCTGAGGTTCCTCAGGATTCAGTAAAATGTTCGATTGTTTTGGATTCAAAGCCACATTTTCATACCATGTTTAAGTAGTGTGTTGAAGAGAGCTGCGCAGTCAGTTTGGTTTAAGGGTACGAAAGAGGTGACCCAGTATCCATGTGAGAAAAGTATTATTTTAAATGAAATCTATGATAGAGTTTGCAGATTAAACCCTTTTATTTAGCTATTAACAAAACGGTTTTGCAAATGATTAGGAATCTGCTGACATGGCGATGTGAATATAAGTTACAGGAATATAAGTTCCTGTTGCCACAACAGGATTTTAAGTATTATAAATTGAGCAAGAAAAAGGAAACTGTTCCAATTCGACAGTGTAAGGAGAGTGAATAGGAAGGCCCAGGGCGCTGCAGCACGACCCATGTGTGCAGAGCACATGCAGTTTGTTTGCTGGATGTGATTAAGTTGAGATAATGGGTTTCATGAGGAGGACTGAGCAGTTTTAAGGCTGGGAAGAACCATTACATGCATTTGTATATGACACAGAGGTCTCAAGTGTGGTATTTGGATGAGTTTCAGTTTCCTGGCTTGTTACTCTTTTTCCAAAGCATGTCAAAGCAGAGGTCAGACTGTTGTACCTGCAGTCACAACAAAGCAGCCTCCCAGTCCCACACTGAACAGCCACGCTCAGTCTAAGGAGTCATTTCCAGTACAAGCTGTGAGAAACTCTGCATTAGGTATTGCAGCCTGGCCCCGGATCTTCTTCTGTGAGTGTTGAGGGAAGCATCTGCAGAATAATATGTGAGCAATTCAAAGATTAACGTGGTTTCATATTATCCTAACTCTTCCCATAAGATGTGACACGTGCTCTGCAAAGATTGATTTTGGTTCACATTAAAGACCCATCTTTTCTGCGTTGTTTTACAGCCCTGGTTGTGCGCTTTCTCACAAAGAGATTTATTGGAGACTATGAGGCCAACACTGGTGAGTCTGCTTTGCACTGCAGCACTGGGATCTGCTCTCTGGTGTGACTGGTGCATATTACAGGAAAGCCAAGCAGTGTTACATGTCCATAAGGTGCATATTTTCAGTTAATAGCCTCAAGCTATGAAAGCGATAAATCAAAGGCTCATTATTTATGATCCTGTTGGCTGGGTTTTTTCCAGCTTGGTGGAAAAGGATCAGAGTAACAGGTTTGCTTGGGGACATACCTATACTAAAATGCAGGCCTAAGGAACAACGTGCATATGGACTAAACCATGGAAGCCCAACACAGCTCTCTGGAACCCCAGGGACGCCAGAGGAATTCCAAAGAGCATAAAAGGCACTTCAGATATTTTTCTGTGTACTCTCTTTCTCTTTTGGTGGCTTTTATAACAAGGGAAACTTCCAAATTGAAGTCTTCTTTCCATAAGATAAGTAAAGCAACCATGCAGTCTGCTTCTGCTGCATTTCTTGTTTAATCTGACACCCCAGAGGAGGTGTAAATGTGAACTGTTTAATTCACAGCCTCTGTTCCAAGAAAGTGCCAAGTGTACTGGCTGATGTTGTATGTACCCCGTGCTCGTACCTACTGGCACATCCCACACGTAGACCATCTCACATTTTTGGGGTGAAGGAGAACAGGATTCAAAGCAGCGCCTGCTTCACTTTGGAGATGCATGCTGAACTTAGAATGGTGAGTTAGGAAAGGAGATGGCAGTAAAAGACCCCTTTGATCTCTGCCTATCTGACAAAATACAATCTGAAAGCTCCTCCTTCCAGCTCCCTCTCGCTGACCCTACGTAACCTTGATGGTTGGCTGCACTATTGCTCTTTCTTTTCCTTCATCTCTTCTATGGGAGACTGTACATCAAGTTAGACTTCTGAGCTTTACAATGGATTGCTGCCAGAGACATTGCTGGGAACCACATGCTTTTCTCATTAAGCTACCAGCCCAACAGCCATGCTGTAGAAGAAATAAATATGCCAGAAATAAGAAGCAGGTGGCAGTGTGTTTGTGATCATTCAACCATGCTTCTCCTTCTCTTGGCTATCAGGCAGAGCACGCTCAGTATCTGCAAGTACCTGCTTTTTTTGCTGCAATGCATCACAGAGTAGGAATAATATGTTGTCTGGTCTTGGTTCAGGGGTACAGCATCTTCCCATAGAACAGTACCATCTTATCAGCTGAAAATAGGATTTAAAAATTAACCCAGAAGGGTTACATCACCTCACAGAGTCAGTGTTAAACCATAATGTGATAGTGTTGGATTCAGATGCAGTAAACTTTGCCATTTAAACTTCTTCATATTGCAAATGTTTCTCTAAGCTCAGACTCCTTTCCACTGGAATAAACCCACCTGTTTCGTTGAGCCAAAGATGATTTTCAGAGGTGATGGTATTATCATCACTTACTGACCTCCCTATTACTCTGAATTTCCTACTCTCAAAGAGATGGGATTTCTCTATACATCGTTTTAGATGCAGCGGTGACAATTGCATTTGGACAGGGCTGAAAGGCTGCACACAGCAGCTGTGGATACAGCATTTCTTCACGTATCCATGTGACTTGTATCAAGTTCTAAAGAAAACTGATGCTGGCATCAATCTCTGAAGCTGTCCTTATCACACCCACAGATAGTTCATGAAGTTTTTGTTGTCACTTAACCCACACTCCAGTAACAAACTAAAGTTCAAGCCCAGAACAGTGATGGTTTTATTAGAGCTGGGTCAGTCCTGGATGGTTTGAATTAGCACTTGGCTCTGAGTATATGTCATTCAGATTCACCAGATTCAAAGTGTCCAGTCTTTGGGGATTTCAACCAAACTCTGACTGCTAAGGTTACACAAATCCCAAAGAGCATCTGGGTGATTTGTATAGAGTCACTTACTCTGTGTCTGTAACTAAAATGCTTTCCTGTCTTAAAAGCTTCCAGAATAATGCACTAGGACACAGCTCATCCCTTTTACAGACAACCCCTGGATATCTTGATTTGAGATCAGAAATGTGGGAAGTCCAGATTTCAAAAGCTAACAATGTGGATTGAAAACCTGGCTGGGATTTACATACCCACTTCGACTATTTGACTCTACAAAAAGTGCCACCTTCCCCAGCTACCCTCCTGGGTCTGCATTCAAGACATCCACACAGCAAATACAAACCCACTTCACATAAGCCAACAGCCACACAACCACTCTGGTGCCATTCACTTTTCTATAAGCACCTACAAATCATAAGCCTCAAAAATGTGGGTTTCAGCAGTTCTGTTTTGCCTTTATGTACTCTTTCTTCTTTGTTACAGCCACTGACTCTAATGATGTTACTTTTCCATCAGGTGCTTTGTATTCAAGGAAGTTCACCATAGATGGAGAACAGATCTCTCTACAGGTGCAGGATACTCCCTTTGTTTCATTGGAGGTAAAACATCTGCTCAGTGCATTGTACTTTACAACAGTCATTGCCTCTTGTTTCTTGCCAGCACTTCCATCTGTAAGTAACTCCACTTGGCAGCAGAAAAATACCTGGGCTCAAACCCAAATGAAGAGTAATGGGGGTCCCTTAAACTCCACCAAAATGAGCCCTTGAAGAGGTTGAATCAGGCTCCTTTGAGTAAGTCAAAACAAATCTATTTCAAACACATCACTGCATCCCAAGCCTAAAGAGCAGTAAAATCATAATCTGGCTCCCTCCTGCCAACTCCTTGGTTGTTTTATTTCCTGTCAAATGGGTTCTGTCTCTGCACGTCTCTGTCTCCCACCTGCCTAGAGGCCCAGCTAGGGCAGGAATCTCTCTTCTCTAGAAAGGTGTTTCTTCCCAGGGGACAGGCCTCACAGCAGTTGTCATTTCCAGCTAGGGTGGCTTTTCAGTGCTTTACTTATTCTTTCTCAAAAGCATTCCTTATTTTTAAGGTGTTAGCATTGATCTACACCTCTCTTTCTGTCAGTGTTTTGGATATTTTAGATTTAATATTTGACTAGGAACCTGTTTCTAGAAATATTTTTCCAAGCAGGGTTTAAGGTTAAGATGTCTTATCTTGAAGATCTGCTTCACGTCTACAACAAGAGGATGAAAACAGTGCCAAAGCAGCAGAAAAGAATGAAATCTGGGTTTATGTGAATGGTGGAAATCTCATGAGCGTAATAATTCTTCTAGAATAGCTGAGATTTCATGATAAAATTAGATAACCCCTTGTCACCATCAAACCCCTAACTTCCAGGTTTGGCCTTAACCTCAGTCTAAGCTCAGACTTGGCCAAATACACGCCTGGATGGGAACACTACCTTCTCTCATGTTCTTTCAGGCTAGCCCTAGACAACTTTATCCACCACGTTTTGTCCATACAGACCCATGTGTGGATGGCTTCATTTCTGTGCTGGACCACTGTTCCACACTGAGTTTACAGAACAGGATAAGCAAAGCTCCCACAGCCTGTTTCCATTTCCATTTGATGACTGGAAGTAGATGCAAGTGGGAAGCTTTGAGTAAGAGCAGAGGAGAGCACTCCTCCTTTACTCTGGACACTAAAAGCAAACAAAAGCTGCTATGGAAGTCCTCCAAACATTCAAGTGGGACTTAACAGTACAAAGGCCCTATGCCAGCTTGCTTAGAGAGGTCCTGCAAAGAAGCTGTGGGTGGTGATTAGGCACAATTGGGACTGCCTGATAAACACTTCACAAAAGGAATCCCCTCTCTGGTCTATCCCATGGAGAAAGGAGGGAGTGAAAGAATCTAATGCCCTCTTTCACACCAGATACATGTTTATTTTCCTGTTTTAATTAAGATTGTGCCCTATAGTTGTGTGACTGTAGCCAAAGCTCCACAACATTTAGCAATGCCATCAGCTGAGGTTTCTTAGTCAGAAACACTTTTAGTTTAGATAGGAAGGAGTTTCATTTTCTTTGTCCCAGTCAAAGGTCTGCTCTGTTTCACCATTTCCCACAGACACACTTATCTTAGCCTGTGTCTCTGTTTGCATCAAATGATGTATCTGAAACATTCTGAAGGGGCTGTTCCTGAAGAGGGCTTGTTAAGACTGGGAATAGTTTGGATTTGCTGTTAAAATCCTTAAGGAAGAGAGTGCCTTGCACTCTGCAGGCTGAACACAGTGTTTTGAGAGGAAGTCATGTGGAATCGCTCAGGATTGTGGCCACACCGGAAATGTTAATGTTTAAGAGAGAAACAGAAGCAACCAGAGCACTGGTTTTGTTCAGTGGTTCATTGCTGCTTGCTCTATACATTGCAAATGACTGTGTGTTTCAAAATTCATTCTGGAGCAGAGATTTCCATTTAAAAAGTAGCCCATTAGCCTTTGATTTTCCTGAATAAAGCATTCCATTTGGGATTATCCACCCATCTCACTCCTGGGTGGGCCTAGCTGGTAACTGAGAATTCCAGCTCATTAGGGCTCTCTGAATGTACACCTTCTCCAAACCCATTTTCCAACGCTTGCCAGAGCAATTAGTTCTTTTTCCCCATGAAAGGAGTTTGCTGGTGAAAAGAGGCTCGAAGGACATGGAGGGTGGCTCATTATCCACAGCTTGGATACAGCCCAGACACCACCAGTGCAAATTGCCCTTCTTCCCACAGCCTGCCCTGCCCACGCTTGAGTTCACTCTCAGTAACCTTTTAAAGAAGGCTGCTGGTGAGGAGCCCTCTTCACTCCATGTGCAGATCCGGTGGGGTTTGGGATGTGAGCGCTTTGGGAGGGACAGGAGTGATAAGAGCATCTGTTAAACCATTTCACTGCTAACAGGATTTAGCATTACTGTGAGCTGGGAAGGGCAAAGAACTACCAGGTATGATAAGCCACTGTCTCTACAGGCAATACTGAAATATTTACAAGGGGCAGATAGACAAGGGGGGCAGTTAGTTAAGGGGCCCTACAGGAAACCTGGAGAGGGGCTTTGGACAAGGGCCTGTAGGGACGGGACAGGACAAGGGGAATGGCTTTAACCTGCCAGAGGGGAGGTTGAGATGAGCTCTGAGGCAGAAGCTCTTCCCTGTGAGGGTGCTGAGGCGCTGGCACAGGGTGCCCAGAGAAGCTGTGGCTGCCCCATCCCTGGCAGTGTTCAAGGCCAGGTTGGACACAGGGGCTTGGAGCAACCTGCTCTAGTGGAAGGTGTCCCTGCCCGTGGCAGGGGTTGGAGCTGGAGGGGCTTTAAGGTCCCTTCCAAACCAGCCTGGGATTCTGTGATTCATCCCAGTTAGCAGAATGCCTGTTGAATTCTGTAACCCTAATTTATACCCTGAGCCTTCAGAAATTGTGCTTCCTTCTTCTCATAGAGGAGCCTTGTCAGTAAGTTCTTTTTTTACAGTCTGATCTACCATAAAGGAACTGATCAGTTTTACTCATTCTTTTCCACCTCTGCTTCCTGCTGTTAGGCTTTATAATTCATATTTAGGTGTCTAAATAGAAGTGAGTTGTTTTGGAAGGCTGCTGAGCATACACAAGTGCTGCTAAAGTCAATGTGAATGGCAGATATATATTCTATAGATAAATGAATAATGGAATATATGTTCTCATAGTCTTACTGAACTTGATGAAGATTTATTGAATAGAAATTAGCAATAATAATAAAAGTTTGGGCTCTGTTCACAAAAGCCTCTAATTTCTACTAACTTCATCCAGAGCTGAATACTGAATATGTTTACTGCTTTGTTGGATATGAAAGAAATGACAAAGTTCCAGAAGGCTCTCCTATTGACAGGAATGTCAGTTCTCACAAAGCAAACACACTGGCAATAACTGCAGCAGGGATCTCCCTATCTGCTTGGGTTACACGCCAGCACGGGTAACAAAGAGTAAAGGATTAGCTGAAAATAGCTTCATCTTGAAAAGTGAGCTGAGCTCTTTGCAAGCCCCAACAGTATTGTGTTCGCTTTTATATTCCCAAGGCTGGTGATTGTTATGGCTGTCTGAGTAGGAGAGGTGATGGACTGAACCAGCAAACCATAATAGAAACCCATTGCTGCTCTGCTAATGAGCAAAGAGATTTCACTGCGTTTTCGGTCCCATTAGTTGGTCATTTGTAAGAAATTGCTTTTTAGAGGTAACTTTGTTTTTGAATATCTGGCAGAAAAACCTGTCAGGTTTCATCAGAGCCAGTGAGAACCTCTGTCCATGGAGACATTAAATACAGGCTTGGAAAAAGCCCTAAAACCCCACCTTGGGGGACAACCATTCACTTGCAGCAGTGTGACTGGCCTGCTGAATTTTATAACGCTCTTACTGTGCCCATCACAATTTTATCCACAATAAAAACGTGGGTTTCTGCCACACTGGTTAAGTACAATAGAATAGAGAACAACCTTTTCAGTATATCAGTGTTTTGGCTGTTCTCTTCTTTTCAAGCAGTTTGCTCTGACCCCTCCCCAGTGCTTACCTGTGATATGTTACTGACACAGTGGAAATCTCCTGTCCCTGCTACATTCCCTGGCAGTCAGAGGGGTTTCTGCTTGTGTATTGAGCAACAGCCACGCTTTGAAACGCAGCTCTGAGCAGCGATAACAGTGCTGTAGGGCTGCCTGCTCCCTAATTCTCCGTTTCCTAACCTCACACCTCTTGGTTTTGGTGGCAGGATGACACTGACAGCATATGTTGCCAAGAGCAGATAAACCGATCCATCTACTGGGCAGATGGCTTCGTTTTTGTTTACTCCATCACAGACTACGAGAGCTACCGAGTGATCCGTCCCCTGCATCAGCACATCCGCAAGATCCACCCGAATGCCAACATCCCCCTGCTCCTGATGGCGAACAAAGGAGACCTCCTGCGAGCCAGGCAGGTGTCCTCCAAAGAAGGGCTCCAGCTGGCCGGTGAACTGGGAGGTACTTACTATGAAGTCTCAGCTCGGGAGAACTGTGAGGGAGTGCATGAAGCCTTCCAGCAGCTCTGCCAGGAGGTCAGCAGGATGATTGGGAGCTGCAATGGAGAGAAGCGAAGAGGCCTCCACCTCGTGCGACCCAAGTCACCAAATATGCAGGACTTGAAGAGGCGTTTGAAACAGGCTCTGACTTCCAAAGGGAAATCTGCCACTACGCTTTGATGTAGCCAACAGGAATCGTTTTCTACAGCCCTGAAAAAGAAAAGGCAGGAAAATAAGCTGGTAATAAGGGGCACTGCTGCAATTCAGCAGCCAGGTTGTGAGGGGCTCTTCCAGTTTGTCTTTGCATCTGTTGTACAAACCCCACACATTCAGCAAAGGAACTTACAGAATTGGCTCTTTGGGGCAAGAAATTACAAACTGTGATTTAAAAACCAGATTGTCCCAAATGATTTCCTTTTTGAAAGGGACATATTTGAATAGTTTAGGCTTAAAATGTGGATTTTATTAAAAGAAAATGAAATCCTACTTTTAAGAGAAGTGAATTCTCTGAGGGTTGGTTGTATTCCCAAACGTAGGCAAGAAGCTAAAGCAAGACATGAGGAGAGTGATGTGAGCTACACTGAGCAAGCAAAATTGATCAGATTTGCTTAGTCACAAGACTGGAAAACAAAGGCAAACAGTAAATGAAGAGCATAAATAGAGAAAAGTAGTAATTGAAAGCTTTTAAATTGCAGTTTAGAAGGTGTTCTTAGCAAGGTGGGGAGAGGTTTGTGCAGATGCGAGCTTCAGCCTCACAGTGTCTCTTTAAGGGGAGATGTTTAAAAATCACTATATTTGTCAGATTATTTTTCTTTAGGCACGCACTGACTGTTTCTGAAAGGGATTATTTGGGCAAAACACCTACTTACAGCAGCATTTTGTAGTCAGTTTCTCAGTGTTGTACTTATTTTTCTGTAGGTTTCCTACATGGCAACCAGAAAGGGACAAACTGAGCAGGATGATTTAACACCTGCAAAAAATGGACTGTATTAACCCAGAGCAAGAAGGTGACCTAAAACTATTGAACTTTTTCTTTCCAAATTAGGTAGATTTCAAGTTCAAGATGCTGTTTGAAAGAGACAAAACCTTCACATAAAGTATATTTAATTCATTAGATTCTTCTCTCTTTTAAAAGAGAAGAAGAAAAAGTTTTATGATGCCTGAAATCTCTGGCTTTGGGAATTCAGCATTTTGTTATTTGCCTTAAGACCAGACTTTGCTCAATACCTCGCAGTGCATCCAAATAACTGGTCTATCCATACGTACTTCACTGGCAGCATCTCATTGCATGGTGTCTCAGCATGTACAAAGGGATTTGAAGCTGCATCCTGTGAGCTGGCTGGTTTTATGGTAGCAATAACAGCAACATGAAGCATTCTGTTCTCAATGAGAGTGGAAAGAAGCTGGGTTGGACCATGTGAAAGTCATGATGTAACAACCTTTGCTTCAAACAGACCATATGAGCAATTCACAGGCCCATGAAATGAAGTAAAGCTCCATGATTTACACTCAGGAACAGAGGGAAACCCCTCATTTGATGGATACAGAAAGATCCTCCCAGCTGCAGTTGCAGCTGGCAATACTGAGCTAAATCAACCTTTTACTCATTATGAGCAGTGAAAATGTAAATTGAGTCTGATGAGTATTTACACAGCTCAGGGCTTGAAAATGGGTTTTACATTTTTCTTGCCCCTCTATTAGACAGCTCTCATCATGATTTCCCTTATCACCTGGATTTGCTCTATCTACAGCTCACTTTGTGGTTTATTTATTGTTTTCCACAGCTGGTCAGCTGAGAATGGCTTGTGTTCTCATTGATTTAAACTGCTTTTCTGCACACACAAGAACTGCACCTTTTCTGGCAGTTAGTTTCAATTGGTGGTAGGAGGGAAAAAGGAAAGTCAGATCATCCAAAGAGGGACTCCAACATACCAGAGGGTTTCTACTTTAGCTTATGGCTATTTAACAGCTTTATGGTTGAGCAGTGCTGTTACTCAGTGCAGGTACTTTGGGATGGTGTTTATTAGCACTGAGTTTCAATATTCTAAATGACTCATAGCAAATATTGAATCTAAAGATTGACTAACATGAAACAGAGCAGTTTGTGAGCCACGCACAAACTGAAAATGGTTTACATTGGAAAGAGCAATTAAATGTTTTACCATCCCACCCTATGCATCAAGGGCTGAATTTTCTGAAGACAATTTGCTGACAACATTTGTTTTCAGGAGAGCCAGAGACAATTTGGTGCTCTGGCTGCTCAATTTGGTTGTAACTTACACTTGCAGCTCTAATCCTTTCTTATTTGGGCACAAAAGATCAACAGATTTTCAACCTTTCAGTGTTTTATTTTCAATAGTGATTAATAAAAACATGCAAAGTCTTTCCTGAGAGTGATGAAATGTCTCACATCTTAAGTGTTCCTCGCTTACACTATACTAACTATATACTTCTTTTCCCTTCTACAACCTGACGCATCCTGCAAGTATTCCTGCATTTGTATTCCTACAGAAGTAAGTATTCCCACATTCCTGTGGCACTGGTGGGGAAAAAAAAAAGTCTACATTTCAGCTAAGGCCAAGAAATATTGAAACATTTAAGTCTTCTCCTAACTACTAACATGTGGCAAACATTTCTTCTGCTACAGAAACTTTAGTATTTCCTTTGTTCATTGACCAGCAATACAAATCCTGTAAGAGCTTTGATACTGGGTTTAAGCCAGGACATACCATCTACAGAAGACAATAGAGCTCAGGCTTTTTATAAGCAAGTCAGTATCCACGTACTAGAACACATCATTGGGCCACTGAAGCTAAGCGAGGCTGAGGAAGCAGCATGGTCGCATGAAAAGCAGAGAGGAGAAAGCTATAGAATTAAATGCCTAAAAATAATCATATAAAATATCAAAGATTAGTCATGTAGAACCTGATCCTGAATTAGAATCTTAAGGCTGCCAGGGAAAAAACATGTATTCTACTGGAAGTTTAAAATTAAGCCTCTAGAGAGAAGGTACCTGGCATAAAGTCAAAAGAGGAGAGGAAAAGAAGATTGGAGAGTGGGTTTTTTGGGGGATATCAAGACAAATTCTCTTCTCAGCTATATTAAGTCCATATTAACTCCGCTGGAAGCAATACCATCAGCAAAAACCTATAAAACTCACTTTTCTTCCTATCCCATCCCTTTCCATCCTCCTGAGCCGTTTAAATCTTGTGCACCATCTGGTCTTCAAGATGGTTTACAGCTGGGTTTACTTGGGCACAAAGCACTTGAGTGATTTGCCCCAAGGTTACACAGCTGAGCAAGTGCTTGAGAGGAACTCACAAACTGTGTCCTTTGTAATTAATTCCCAATGCTTTACAACAACTTTACCAGACCATACCACCTCCCCCAAGGTATGCACAAAGCACAGTGAGTTGTGTTACAGAAGAATGTAATTAAAAGTTGGGAAAAGTTACTTAAATTATAAGCTATGTTAGGAACTGCCTGAGCAAAGCATTGCTGACGTGCTGGCACTGGGTGCAATTACAGTAATAGCAAGCCTGGCTTTGAGTTATTGAACTTACTTGTAGCTGGTTATTTTCTGCAGTATTCCTGTCAGATGCATTTCTCACACATTTCCAGTGGTTCCCCATGGAAATACACTGTGACTCGGGAAAATCAGGCCCCATTTTTAACTTTCCCTGTGACTTGATGATCTTGGCCAGGTCTCTTAATCAAAGTTGTGTGTCCATAAGGATGAGGAAGGATATTAACACGTTTGCTACACAATGTAGCATCCACAGGAGAGGCTCACCAATGAGAAATAAAGGATTCGCCTTCATTGGCAGTAGTGATGGCTTAAATCTTAATGTCTGAATTCAGATCTTGATTCTGGGTTCCTTAGACCCAGAGTTGTTTGGACCCCACGTTTACACTCAAAGCATAGGAACAAAATGGAAAGTTCAGATCTGATTTCAAGGAAGAGCTCAGGCAGAAACACTTGTCTCGAGGGTCCCTGGCTGCACACAGGATTTATGCCAGGTGCACAGATGAAGAGGAATGAGTGACTTTCTGAGACATCAAAGAAACTGAGGCTGTACCAGCAAAACGGTTGTCTGATTGTTTTACAAGGCAAACTGGAAGGCTGCCAGCTCATTGTTCCTGCTGGGTTTGCCTCTGCCCACTGCAGGCTGGAAGACTTCGGGTCAGAATCACAGTGCCACTGCTGGAGCAGCAGCTCTGGCTGCAGAGCCAGCACATGACCCTGGAACAGCAGAACACAGTGACATACTTGCTAGGATTCAATGGTTCGTGTATTTTCAGAGTTCTTATGGGCTGCAGCCATCTCCTCTGGGGCTAGCACAGGAAAGCTACGGACTGAAAGTGATAAAGCTCTCCAGTTTCACTCTAAAAAGCCTAAAAGCAGGAGCAATGGTGCTAGAAAAGATCTATCACCTCTGGAGACAAAGCAAGACTCTTCCTTTAATCATTTTTCACCCTGTTCTCACTGGCTCTGCCCTTCCTCATCCCTCTCTGTTCATGCCTTTGTTCTCATTTAGCAAGCAAAACCTCTTGCAATTGTTCTTCCTTTGGCTTAGAAATATAAGTTTTGCTGTTTAATTTCAAATATATTTCCAAGTATTTTAACTCCAAACATGGTTTATAGCAACAGAAGTGTGTCTACTCAGCCTTTTGACCTTATTTACTTACAGCATTTTAAAGCACATCTAAATGAAGTCAGTCCAACTGTATTTAGACAACCCTTTGAATTCCTGCCATTTCTCCCCAAGTGCTCTCACTGGCTTAGCCCGATGTTTCCTTCCCTTGTTTTGTGCTCACAGCGTTGAGCTCATTTGTGTTGTGTAGTCACTGCTTACTGAAACCTCTTCAGGTCTCGTAAAGTTCTGCTGCTCTTCTCTGAAGCCTCTGGTTAAATGAAGCAAGTTCCCTTCTTTAAGCAAATGGTACCTGAGCTCAGAGCAGCTGCTGATTTCCTGCTCTGCCAGGTTTGGTCCATTATTGAAGGTTTTGGAACAAACAGGAGCGTGGAGAATGATGCAGCAAACTCAGTTCTCGTCTCCCTTCATCTTTTGGTGACAATAATTCTATCCATCATGAAGTGGGCAAGGTTTATCCTAAATAACAGTGTTTCAGCACGGGTTCCTACGGATGGAAAAACACCAAATATGAAGCAGAGTTGGTAGGCTCTGCAAACCCAAGGATCTAATTCATTCAGGAGCTGTCATACCAGTCTTCTTTCCCTTAGAAGATACATTTCTTACATTTTCCTTTTTATCCAAAT